TTTCATGATTTGGGACGACAAACTATACTATGACTTTTTTTCATGATTTGGGACAACATGCTATACTATGACTTTTTTTTCATGATTTGGAATGACATACTATACTATGACTTTTTTTCATGATTTGGAACGACATACTATACTATGACTTTTTTTCATCATTTGGAACAACATACTATGACTTTTTTTCATGATTTGGAACGACATACTATACTATGACTTTTTTCCATGATTTGGGACAACATGCTATACTATGACTTTTTTTCATGATTTGGAACAACATACTATACTATGACTTTTTTTCATGATTTGGAACGACATACTATGACTTTTTTTCATGATTTGGGACGACATACTATACTATGACTTTTCTTCATGATTTGGAACAACATACTATATTACGACTTGTTCATGATTTTGGACCACATACTATACTATGACTTTTTTTCATGATTTGGAATGACATGCTATACTATGTCTTTTTCTTGATTTGGGACGACATACTATACTATGACTTTTTTTCATAATTTGGGACGACATGCTATACTATGTCTTTTTCTTGATTTGGGATGACATGCTATACTATGACTTTTTTTCATCATTTGGAACAACATACTATGACTTTTTTTCATGATTTGGAACGACATACTATACTATGACTTTTTTCCATGATTTGGGATGACATACTATGACTTTTTTTCATGATTTGGGACGACATACTATACTATGACGTTTTTTTCATGATTTGGAACAACATGCTATACTATGACTTTTTTTCATGATTTGGGACGACATACTATACTATGACTTTTTTTCATGATTTGGGACGACATGCTATACTATGACTTTTTTTTCATGATTTGGAAAGACATGCTATACTATGAATTTTTTTCATGATTTGGAAAGACATGCTATACTATGAATTTTTTTTCATGATTTGGAACAACATACTATACTATGACATTTTTTCATGATTTGGAACAACATACTATACTATGACTTTTTTTTCATGATTTGGAACGACATACTATACTATGACTTTTTTCCATGATTTGGGATGACATGCTATACTATGTCTTTTTCTTGATTTGGGACGACATGCTATACTATGACATTTTTTCATGATTTGGGACGACATCCTATATTCTATGACTTTTTTTCATGATTTGGGACGACATGCTATACTATGACTTTTTTTCATGATTTTGGACGACATACTATACTATGACATTTTTTCATGATTTGGGACGACATGCATATACTATGCCTTTTTTCATCATTTGGGACAACATACTATACTGTGACGCTTTTTTCATGGGTTTTGATAACATACTATACTATAACTTTTCATCACGTTTTTTTATAGCACACTATACTTATGGCTTTTTCATCACATTTTTTATGTCATCATTTACACTGACTTTTTTTAATCATACTTTTATTTCTTAATATGCTATGACTTATTAACATGGTTATCATGGCATACTATAATATGACTTTTTGTCATTGTGTTCCTAACCCTTTTTTATTTCTATTTTTATGGCATACTATGACTAATTTTTTTTTTTTTGGGGCATGTTTTTTATGCCATACTATACTATGACTTTTTTTAATCATTTTTATTTCCCAAAGTATTATGGAGTGGACTGATGTACATTAAGTAAGATTACATTTGTGGCAGAGGGTTCAAAAATGTCTACATGAAGATCCACTCAAGGTCCATTAGTTTCCTCGTGAGGGTGCACACGTGAGAATTCATACCTCCACGCTGCTTCTTTGCCTTGGAACCTTTCTCTGGATTAATGCCCACAAAGCATCTGAAAAATTTTTTAAAAAACAAAAACAAAAAAACAGTACATTAGGTTTGCATGTTTGCTTGTGCAAAGTGTGATAGTGACTATACCATTTAAGTCAGGCATGACCAAAGTCTAACCAGAGGGCCAATATTAGCCCATGGGCTGATTTTAAATAGCCTGTGGTTTGCTATTCAAAAAATGCAAAACATAATACAGGTTATTCAAGCAAGTTAAATTTGCATTTTTTTCCATTCGCCTTACAGTGGCAACACTATCATACAGTTTGTAGACATGCACCAAGTAGGAACTACATACAAGGAGCTAATGTATTTTCATAAACAGATGGCGAATAAGCAAATGACTGGTTAACCAGCAGCAGACATTTCCTGCTAGGTACTAGACATGGCCACAGCAAAGAAGCATTAGGTCGACAGCGAGGGCCACCACTTTCAGGGCCGGTGTAAAAGTTGCTTTTTTTTTTCACTGAGAAATGAAACGGTTTGCGTTTGTCTCATTTGTATGTGTGTGAACCCATATCATGGAAGAAGCACTTGGCCCCCAGGTTTTTTCCCATTATCTAATCTGGCCTCCATTAGAAAGTTTGGACACCCCTGGTTTAAGTGATGTTGCTGTAAAATTGTGGCACACAAGTGTATTACTGTATCAGTTTTTCATTCATTTAGTTGGACAGTTATTGAGAGTTGACTTGGGTAAAATCTGGCAACTATCAAGAATAAGAACTATGACTTTTAGTTGACTGTGATTTACTTTGTCAAAGACAGCCCTCGCACATCTTCCGAAACATCATTTAGTAAATACTATCAATAACATATCACCCAGGAAAATCTGAGTGTATTGTGGTCTTAAAAACATGGATCCTGTCAAAGCCTACAAGCAAGTAGCACTTTGTGTCTTGCTGCATTTTACGGTACCTTTGGATGAACTCGAGGGTGCACGAGGCCTCCTCAGGATACTGCAGGTTGAAGTTGTAGTAACTAACGAAGAGAGCAGCGATCCCATTGACAAAGTTGGCTTGTGGTCCCATGACCACTTGGCCTTCGATTGAAAGCATCCAGGCCCTTGGCTTCATCACCTCACCTGAGACAAACATAATAAAGATTCAGCTGGTTTTCTTTCCTGTTGCAGTGTTTTGGGGCAAAGTGGTTTCATATTATCCCAATATATCAACACAGGATTTCTTTTAGGCTACATCAGGTTAATATAAGAGGAATTGTCTCTTTTTTTGATGGTACCGAAAGTGACACAATGTGATTTTAAAATCCTGTGCTATACCATATTACTCTGATACTAAGCCAAGCTTGTTTCTGTACTTTATTAGGGTTTAAACTATTTCCCCAGTAAGTACTGTAATGACTGGGGGAAAATATAAACTAACACAAACATCATGAAAGAAAAAGGAAGACATGCCTTTAACATACCTGATACAATCAACCGAGGGGTGCTGGGTAAGCTGAGGGTCCTCTGGATATCGGCAGCTGTGGCTGACGGCTGGAAAATAAGAGTTCAAGCATACCTTCAATTATTTCTTTGACTTAAAAAGTGGCCAGAAAGCATCTAATTAATTGAACATATAACTGTTATGCTAAATAGTCCTTATTGACGGCTTGTTAAACTAGAAAGTTCTGTGCTTATTTCACAAAATGTCCTCATTTCAAATTGGAAATCTTAGTAAGAGTGCTGCAGGGATCACACTGTTTTGTGGGCTAACATGGAAGTTAGCACTGATCTGGTTCCCTTGTCAAAAAGACCATAGGATTTTGAATGACTGTAGAAAATAAGACATTTGGCAAATAAGAGTTTATGATGTTTACAAGTTTTGTTCAGCAAGATAATCTTGCAAATTATGATTTGTGAAGCGTGAATGCAATCACCAGAAGTAAAAGCTAACATTAGGCTATAAACAAACCCTACGGTTGCAGGACTAACATCAAAACCACATGACATTCTGTAGTTTCATTAAGCCACGAAGCAATTGCCTATTTTAAGACGTGTAAAAGCTTCAAAATATATTTTATGTTGTGGAACAAAATGTGAAAGTCTCTTAAGCTTGTGTTAACCACAGACCTTATTTCAGGCATCTAACCGAGAACCCATTCAAAAAAAATCACTGACTTCAAGACAAGGAAACTGGGAGTGGTAAAACGCTAACTCATTCCTGGGTTTAAGGACTCATTCCTGCAGCACTTTTAAAATACAATATTTCAATGCTATCATAAATATCACATTGTGTGTATAGAAAACAAAGTCTGCAAGTAAGCAATGGGGATAGAATTAGGCCCTGATCA